GTGACTATAATTTTATAGTTATATTTGGGGACAACTATAAAAAATATGATTGTCCCCAAATATAACTATAAAATTATAGTCACTCGAATCATTTTTATGGTAATTTCAACAACTATTTTATGGTTACAACAACTATAATTATATAGTCATTTTAGGTTGCCAACTATATACAATTGTTGCTAGAACTATATACATAGTTACTGTTATTATTATTATAGCAGTAATAATCATAATTATAGTTACAAATACCAAACATTTTTCTCTCAGTGTGATACTTTACGCTAAAAGAAACAATTTTTTCCTTTAACAAAATTGCGTCCGATAAGTAGTTTTTGGAGAAGAGCAGGTTGAAATCAACAAATAAGCGCAAAAATTATTTGTCAAACGCAATTTCGTTAAAGGAAAAAGTTGTTTGTTTTAGCATAAAGTATCACGTCTTGTACTTTGCGGGTGCGAATTTGAAAACACCCGGTATATCCGGACCGTACATATTCCGCGGTGCAGAACGGATCTATTTTTGGCCTGGTTGCAGCGCGTGCACCCCCTCGGTCCGTGTAAACACGCGACCAGAACACAACAGGGGTGAAATAAAGTCCCCAGGAAGAGCTGTTCCTGAAAAACGCTCGTAAACCACAACGCCGGACAAATCAAATACAGATTCGCGTTGATGGTGAAAGAACGAGATCGATAGAAATCAGTTTATGGAGGTTGCACGAAAATAGAGCTATCAGTTTCAATCAACGTCCACGCTAATGTATGCACATTCAGAAAAAAATGTAGCTCTGGCAACTGTAAAATTTAAGTACTTGCAACTAGTTTTATAAAGTAACAAGAACTGATAGTATTGAGTAGTACTGAATATTATATATTTTTATATATTGAGTAGTATTAAGTACCATAATTTTACAGTATTGAACTAATTGTAAGTATGCCTTACTGTGAGGCATACAATACTCAGAGGATAGATATCTTTGGAGCTGAGAAATTAACTCTAGAGGAAGTTCATAAGATACCCTGGAGAACACTCATAAGATTCTTCGAGAATCTACAACTTCTCTAGGGGACTTACGTAATTGGGGGCACAATAGGCCTTTTAGGCCGCAGTGTGAGGGTAATCCCTACCCCACTAATATTATTATTATTATCAATTGTAAGTATAGTATTGAGTATATTTTTGCAATACTATATGATATTTTTATAGTCTTCAATATTATTTTAGTTCTCGTTGTAAAACTAGTTGCAGTACTTAAATTTTAGGTATCACTTTATAGTTGCCAGAATGTTTTTCTCTTAATGCACTTAGTAGATAATACTTATAGAGTCAAATTTAATACATTTTCTTCAGTTAAATTGTTCAGTTTCGTTATTTAATTTCATTTCAGTTAAATTAATGACACATTGAATAGGAGCAATGGCTTGTAGAAATGATAAAAACAACTCTAATTAGACATAATTTGACATTATGAATTTAACAATATAGGTAAGATCCTTCTCCACTCCAACCATGTTCATTCGACGAACAAGCTAACTGCTTTGCCCGCTTAAACATTTCTAACGTTTTGACACTGGACCAAAGTTTTTCTTGAACAAACAATGACAGATAATTTGATCAACTGCGTTGACTATAAATCGTGTGGACCGATATTCATAATTTTTTAATTCTTATATTTAAGACCCTGTCAAGATGTCATGAACCAGTCAGTGAGCCGTATTAGCATCTTAAGGTGCTGCTTAAGATGGTCTTAAAATAAGAACGGACTATAAATACCACTTCGAGTCTCATAACTCTAACGTGAAGACCAGTCTCGATCTTGGGATCAGAGATCGTATTCAACGCTAAATGCACTACAAGAGCAAATCGGCTCCTCTCTTTCTTGGAGGCTGTGCGCGAACGAGAGAAAGGCAGATGTGGGCAAGTTAACGACCCGTTATCGCATGGACGCCGCCGCCGCCGCCGCCGTTGCTGAAACTGGTTGCTGCCGATTGCAGGAAGCGGGGCGCGGATCGAGGGGGTCGTGGCTAAGCCCCGCATGAAGGAGAGGCCCCGAGGGCGCGTTGCAATGAGGAGCGGCGGCAAAGCGCGAGGCGAATTGCGTTCGCGCGAGAGGTGCATTCGACGAGGCCACGATCGAACGCGAACGAGCGAACCGGTCGACGTCGTTCACGCACGGTGCAGGTGTACTGATGCAGGAATACCGCGTCTCCGCGCCGCGAGCGAATTTTCATTTTCGCGAGAAAGACGCCGCGCGGAAGGTGACATCGTCCCCCATTTGCACACAATATGCGAGCGATTGTTAATTAACGGAAACATACAATCGGCGACAACGTCGACGTCGTACGACGATGACCGGATGCAAATGCGAGCGTTACCAGCATTTATTCAACCGGTCGACGTCGTCTGTACGTAGGCAAACATTTTTTGCCGTGAAAATGATCGTCGAGAGGGAGAGAGAGAGAGAGAGAGAGAGAGTCGAAGGATGAAAACGTGCGGTGCGAAAGATCATCTGTGCATGGTGAAAATGTGAGAACAAGATGCGTTTTGCAAAGCATCGGCATTATCTCGAGCCTTTCTCTGTTCGAACCGCCATTCCCCTAGCAGCAACAATCGCTTCCGTGGAAGCCTTGACTGCAGGTAGAAGCCTGTTATACAAAATCGACACAAAGGCGAAGAGAAAAATGAAAGGGAAGGGACGAACGGAATAGCATCGTACGCTCGACAAGAAAACGCCAAGAATATATCCTTGTATCACTTTTTCTCTTCTTCTCCCTTTTTAATTCTACTATCTTGAAAAACATGTTTTGATTAAACCTACAAAAAGATTCAAAAATATTTTGTATTTGAATTAGAAATGGTCTACTCGACTCCTTATTAAAATTTTCTATTCAATTTTTATTATATATCTAAATGTTGTTTAACATAATGTGAGAGAGAGAGAGAGAGAGAGATTGTGTTATTTGAATATTTATGTTAAAATAATATTCCATTTTTTTTTCTTAATGAGAAAAAATAACACAATTTATGAGTAAATAAACAAATAATTTTTTAAAACACAAAAATGTTTTAAAACGTAAATTATAAGATAAATGAATAAAATATGTTAATTTAACATATTATAAATGTTAATTTTAATAAAGAAATATGATTGCCTACAAAATGTGTCACTGTTATGGTTTTGCGTTAACTTTTTTATATAATATTTGTGTTACTTTCTAACTTATTCATCTTACTAAATTAACATTTTTGAGTGAACCATTTGGGACACTTCAAATTTATTAAATTTAACACGTAACTGGAAACTATCTCAATAAAATGCCATTTTTCTTGGATCTTTTTGTTGGTTTAATCAAAACATTTTTTTCTGTGTATTAATTGCAAAATTAATCCACATATAAACACACATTCTTTACACTATTAAATTCACAATGTCCAATTACACCCAATAAGTTATTTTTAATCATATCTATAGGTCGTCACTGTTCCTACCCAATATGTCATTAATTTAACTAAGACAATGGAGTTAAATATTTAATTCAAGAAAATGTATTAAATTTGACTCATGTTTAATCTAACTATTATTTACTCAGTGGATACTTAATGTTTATTTCGAAACAATATAACCACAAAAATAGATTGATTTACATTTTGACAGATGGAAGTTAAAAATAACACAATGTTATTTAACTCAATAGACTAAATTATTATTGCTCCTTTAATATCTAACAGTGTAATTTAAAATATATCGATTGTGTACCGATTTCCAACTAATTATTCCGCCGTAAAATATTTAATCGGCAAGCTTCTCTTTCTGACACACGAAATAAATTAGATAAGCTTAAGGAATTAATAGCCCGAGATTAAACATCGCTAAAATACTTAATTATTTTAAAAATATTGATAAAATAGTGGGATATTCATTCTAGACAAAATTTCAAAAGATTTTCCCTTTATATTCTAAACATGTATTATAGAATTATTCACAATATATACCGATCGGAATTGTTCAATTATTCCCTCAATCTCTATTTCTGGGAAAATTGGAATAATTCCAATCGGAATCCATTCACACCGCAGCTATTCTATAACATCCCCAGAGCTGATATGGGAAAGATTGCTCGTCCCTGCGTGACGATTCGAAATGTCGATGACGCGACAAAGAGATACCGGCACAGCCGGTATGCGGCGATTGCGCGATCCCAAGCGTGGAAAAGGTCGGCTAGAAATCGCGCGTACGTACCGTACGTGCCGTATGGTTCGATCGTTCGGGGATTAAGAAGTGTGCGACCACCAAGCAGATGGTGGGGCACGGAATCAAGATGGCGTAACGACCGGTCGTTCTTCGAGGGATCGTTCGTACGTTCGGTCATATTGGTCGACTCTACGAAACTCGGGGGGGGGGGGGGG